TCCTTTATAAGAGTTGCTGTGGCCACGGTGTCTCTTCATAGCAACAGGAATTCTAACTAATCCTTCCTCCATCCACACCTCAGCTTGCTTCACCAGTGAGTAACACACATGCTTTGAAAAGAAGTATGTCAGAATACACAGATGTAGAGAAATGCAGGCATGTTTTTCCTCTGTGGTACCTAAGGTGAAGCGTTTGTTTTAGATCATGATGATCAAGGTGATGATAATGGTGTGTGTGTGTGTGTGTGTCTGTGTATGTGTCTGTATGTGTGTATGTGTCTGTGTGTGTATGTGTTTCTGTGTGTGTTGTGTATCTGTCTGTGTGTATGTGTGTGTTTGTGTGTGTGTCTGTGTGTGTATGTGTGTGTGTATGTGTCTGTATGTGTGTCTGTGTGTATATGTGTCTCTGTGTATGTTGTGTATGTGTCTGTGTGTGTGTGTGTGTGTGTATGTGTCTGTATGTGTGTCTGTGTGTATATGTGTCTCTGTGTATGTTGTGTATGTGTCTGTGTGTATGTGTGTGTGTGTGTGTGTGTGTGTGTGTTACATACAGAGGTCAGAGGGAGCCTTCTACTTAGTCTTGAATTAGTTTTCTTCTACACTGTGTAACAAAGGCCACACGTTTATCAGCTTAACACACACAGCAACTGGCCACGGCTCTAAGCCCCTGAAGCTGCACCCCTAAATCTTTCCATTTAAGCTGATTTTTTCCCAGGTGTTTTGTCTTGGTGACAGAAATCTGACTAATCTACAAGAAGTTGTGTGTTCCACATCTGACTGTCTTGTTCAGGGTCACAGAGGCCAAAAGGAAGGTATTAACTGAAGCTGGATCCCCATACAAGGTTTGAGGTCAGCTCCTGGTGTCTAAACCACTTCAGCTCTCTGACTTTCCTCTCTAACTTAGAGTCTTTCATTTCAAGGGATCAGCTGATTAGTCCAGGCCCATCCAGAGGACCCTCCTTTACAAAGAGCTGATCCAATCAAACCTTTACAGAATGGAGCCCCTGCACTCAAATCAATCGCTGAGGGACTTTCATGGTATATTCCAACCCCTTCACCTTTGTCCTGTCATGTGACCCAAACACAAGAATAATACTCTATTTATTCTCAGGTTCTACTCAGCCTCAAGGGTTGGGGCATGTGTACCAGGGCCTGGAAATATCAGGAGCCATCTTAGAATGCCGTTGCCATAGACACGCTCGAGCGTTTGTGATGATCACAGGAAGTTTCCACCAGCGATGCACAGCCCCTGGCTGAGGTCAGCAGAGGTTGCATTGCCAAACCTGTTAGTGTTCCCAAGCCAAGCCGTGGCATCAGATGTCTGCTGCCTATCTTCTTGGCGAACTTCCTCCAGACTCTCTTACTGTTAATCCTCAGGCTCAAACACCGTGGGGCAGGAAGGTCTGACATTCCCTCAAGTCCACTTGACCTGATTCCCAGGTTCCTCTGACAAAGCAAGAGTTTGTTGACCTCTACATCTTGGCACTAAGTGTACTTATTTACTCAGATTTTTTCCCCCAAAGGGTGGGGAGAGAGGGTGGAGCTGAAGGAAGGGTTTTTTTGCAGTTGGTCAATGAAAGGCTTTGTTATGACTTCTCTCCATGCTGAACAGGTGGCCAAGTGTCTCAGTACAAGGTGGACATGATTCTCCTCTAGTCCTCAATTCAGTCAAAGGCAGTTATATAAATTAACAACAGCACTAACACCAACAAAAGCCAAGCCAAGGCTGCTTCTTTAGTCAGAAAAGTTGATTCTAACAGAGTCTGGCAGATACTGTGTATGGACACTGAGAGGAAAAGTCTTCCCTATTCTCTTGGTTTTTAGTTATCAAGATGGTCAGCTTTAACTGTCAACTTGTCACAGTCTTGAGCCACCAAGGAAGACACATTCAAAGAGGGATTGTCGGAACTGTGGACATACATGTGACCTGTGGACATATATGTGACCTGTGGACATACATGTGACCTGTGTGTCTGTAGAGCATTGTGTTGGTTGTACAAAGGCCCAGGCTCAAAGTGGGCAGTACTTGGGTTTGGGTCCTGAATAGTCTAAGAGCAGAGAAAGTGATCAGAGGAGAGGGTGTACACACCCATCCCTGTCTGCTCCATATCATGTGACTAGGGGGTTCAAGTTCCTGCCTTGACTTACACACAGTGACAGGCTGGATCTGTGAGCTGAATAAACCCCCTCTCCCTAAAGGCTGCTTCTGCTGGGGTGTTCTGTCATAGTAGCAGAAAAGTAGAACACACACACACTTGGTACTTCTATGTCAAGCGTGGTTTTGACTGTTGGATTATCCATTCCGGTGGTCACAGTGTCTCAAATGATGCGAGCTGTAAAGGCGATAGGCCGGGTTCTCTTAGTTCTGTTCTAGAATATGGAGAAGTCAGAGGCCTGCAGCACTTAGACCAAAGTGTGGTGATATATTGTGTACCCCAATAAAGCTTACCTGGGGATCAGAGAAGCAGAGCAAGCCAGCCACAAGTTCTTACCTCTACGAAATCCTCAGCCTCAAGAGAGAGAGAGTTCCTGTTTCCTCACACCTTATATAGCTTTCTGTGTCCTGTCACATTACTTCCTGGGATTAAAGGTGTGTGTCACCCACTGCCTGGTTCTATTTCTCTCATGTAGCCCAGTGTGGCCTTGTGCTCACAGAGATCCGGACGGATCTCTGCCTCCCAAGAGGAGTGATAGGATTAAGGGTGTGTGCCACCACTGCCTGACCTCTGTGTCTAATTTAGTGGCTGGCTCTGTCCTCTGATCCTCAGGTAAGCTTTACTGGGGTACACCCTGTATCACCACACCAGAGGGAAGGGCAATCTCTGTCAAAGTGAGAACATGAAGGTGGTGATTGCCTCCTGTGGGTCTGAGAGCCAAGCAAGGCCTGCTTGTGTCATGGCAGGTCACCAGGGCAGATGTGACATGGACAGAAACCTGGTCCTCGGGTTCTGTGTGACACATAATTGCCCACGTGACCTGAGCAGCTGTGTCGTGACCTCCCAACTTTCAGAAGAGCCCCTTCCAAGAAAACGACGTTTGTCACTGGGAGAGACTGAAAGATGGCTGGCCTTAACATTTGGTTGATTTGGTCTCTCTGGGAAATTGCATTCTAGTGAGAGATATCATTATTTGTTTAATTAAGTTGATATTTTAAACAGTATCGCTTACTCTTCTGATTCTTGGGTTTTTATGTCCTGTTTTCCAGGCAAGTTGGTTTTGTTCTCAGACTTCCTTTAGTCGTGTTGGAGGAGACAGCAGTCTCCTAGGTAAGAAATGAATGTGTAGTCTTCCCACAGACTGTCTTCACAGATGACATGCTTGATATCCTTGTCAGGAAGCAGTTTCTGGGGATTCTTGGGCTCCCTGCTAATGTGATTGTTATAAAGACACACTCCCATCTTGTTCTGAAGGCCAGATCCAAATCAATGCTCCTGTGAATTTAAGAGTTAACTTGGCCTCACAAGAACTCTCTAGAAAACAGTGGCTTGCTCTGAAATAGCTGAGTTGGAGGAGGTGTGACATTTACCCCCAGGACATCTTGATAAAGAAACATCTCATCTCTCAGAGACATCTTGGGGTTGCCCTGTCTGCGAGGGCCGATTAGCTTACCGGTTGACCTGGTAGCAGCGATCTCCCTTCTGAGAGAGATTCTTTCTTCGCGGCATTTCAGAGATGGCTGAAGATCCATTTCACTTTTCTAAGAGAAGTGTGAATGGCAAGGTCACTCACAGGTAAAACTTGAAACGCTTTCCACAAGGGCCACCACCTTCGTGCCTTCGCAGAGCCTCTAACATCCTGTTACCGTGACACCCCTGTGCTTTCTGCCTGATAGTCAGGGGCTCAGTGTCACAGCAGTGATTCTCCACCGTAGGAAGTGTGGCCCTCACAGTCTGGGATGCAAAAGGTGTTCCCAGGGTGCTCAGTGGTGGCTGGCCAGTCTCAGGTGTCTCCCAAACTAACAACTGCCAAGTTGCTTAACTCTTATCTAGAACTCAGAACATCATTAATAGTTAATGCCCGAAGCTAATTTTTGTGGAACCATGTATCACAGACAAGATCAGGGGAATGACAGTTCCCAGCAACCCAGGCCTCTCTTCCACTCGCCCCATTCTGTCCTGAGATTTTCTGGGGTCCCTCTGGTGCAAGCACGCGTGTACGGCAAGATCAGTGACGTTACACAGATGCGGCTTCAGATCCACTCTTCATGAGAGGGAGGGAGCAGGAAGTTGATGTAGATGAGAATCAGGGGAGGGGGAGGGGCCGGCCAAGCTAGGAACGAGTGTGATTGCTCAAGACTTGGAGTTTTAATCAAGGGATCTTAGTAACGAACAATATGTCCTTTGTTGGCCACAAAAAGAGAAATGCAAACCAGAAGCCAGCAGAGATTTAGTAAACAGAGCGGTCTATAGGCCCGAAGGGGCATGCGTGCACAATGGTTGTTTCAAACTCTGGTAGAGACAGACTTTGGATCAACGGTCAATGCCGGTCTCCTTTGGCAATGCCTTGCATTGACCCAGGAGTCAATGCAGAACATTTTGGATTAACTTGGGTGATTAACGCTCGCAAACAGTAGGCCTACAGTGCTTATTGTGTTCGCTGAGCTTTACCATAATAAAAAGGCTTATTTGGGATAAAACCTTCCTCCCGGATCCACTCTCAGAGTTGTCATCAGTCTGTTTGGATGAGGGACCTCAGTGTGGTCACCACAGGCACCGGGACTCCCAGACAGTTGTCCACATCCCTTTAAGAACAGCCACCTCTAGATGTTTCGTTTCCCACCGTCACACTGTTGGTCTGTGATTTCTTTCTCTCTGGGATCCAGACAGTTAATTATGACTCAAGATGACTGGGCAAAGGCTGCATAGCCCTGAGCAAGGTATTTAATTTTGTTGAATTTCAATTCGCTCATCTGTAAAAGACTTTTTCCACTCCGCTCTTGGAACTCTGATAAGAATGCTCATGAAAATGCATGAAAACACACAAAGCTGGAAAAGCAGTGGTCAGCTTTCTCCCTGGGTGCTGGGGTAGGTTTTTGTAAATAGCATTTATTTTTGTCAGACACAATGGATAGACACCAAATGCAGAGGGGGGTATGGATTTGGACAACCCTTCAGATGTGAAGAACTAGGCCACAAGAGGCTGACCAGAGCGTGGTGGGAAGTTAGGTCGCTGCTGGTTGAATGTGAAACAAGCCACCTCTCCCCTCCAAGTCATACACCTGTCATTTTGGCTTTGCAAGAAGAAATGGGTGTGAAATCATTTTGACTGTCAACAAAGCAGTATTGTGGATAGCTACACAACTCCAAAATAATTCTGGCATTAACTGCCTCGCTCTGTCCCAGACGCTCTCAGTCCCTCCCCTAAAGAAGCCCCTTTGACCTGCAGCTTGAGAAGAGGTCCCATCTGAGTCCAGATCACCTCAGAAGTTGTAAGTAAGTGCAGGGCTCTCACATCCAGCCTGAGTCACTTCCTCCAGCCGAGAAAACACGTGATGAGCCGAGCAAGGCACAAGCCATAGTTCTGCTGTCCCTGCTTCAGCTGGTTTCTGTCTTATCTTCTAGATAGTGAGCCACCATTAAAGGTGACCACAAATCTGAAGAGAAATCCATCTCTTGAAAGCAGCCAGAATTCTGGGAGACTCTGAAGAGGAAGGACAGAGAAAACGTCCATTATGTTGATGGTTGTCTCCTTAACCACTGATCTTCTAAATTACTTCAATTGAGAAACTTTTAAAAGACCTGGAAAAGAGATGAGAAATGCCTGAGAGACTGAACGACTCCATCCCTGCTTTGTGTCTGGCCACTGGCAGCCCCACCCCTCCACCCCTCGAGGATGGATGCTTCTCACAAAAATCTGTGTTTTTGGTTCTTTGGTCATCAGTGTCCCTACAAGTTCTAAGGCTTGGTCTCGATGGCTGGCAGAGCTGGCGGGTAGGCCTGAGGCTACAACCTGGAAATCCTGAATCATCAGTCAACCGACAAATGAATCTTCTATGAAACATCTAAGTGCCAGTTCCAATAATGCTGAAGTCCCACTTTTTAAAACTTTATTTTTAATTGATATATAATCGTACATACTTTTATGGACACAGTGTGAGGTTTTTGATACATGTTTATATGACATAATAATCACACTAGGGTATTTCACTTACTGATCATACAGTTGTTATTTCTTTCTGATGAGAACGTTCAGAATCGTTTCTTCCAGGTGTTGGCTGTGTTTGATGTGGAAGTTTTAGTCAATCACCCTTGCTGTGCACCAAAGGCCAGAGCGTATTCTCCCTTCCCATTTCTAACTTCATGCAACTGGCTGGTTACCATCCTCTCCCTCCACCCTCCTCAGCCTCTGCTGTCCACCATTCTAGAATCATCTTCTGTGACCTCAGGGTCTTTAGATTGCACACATGAATGAGATCCCAAGGCATCATTTGTCTTCCTGTACCTGGCTTGCTCTTGTCTCATCACCTCCTGAAGATCACCGTGGGGGACATGGAGGTGGCATTCTGTTCTTTGCTCTTTCCCTTGAGATTAGAAAACCAATCTTAGTAAACCTTCCCACTCGAAGGTGCCTGGGAACTGACACCTCCTTGTGAGATCTTATGAAGGGATACCTGCTGCTTTGTGATGCTCTGGGCAAGTATCTGAAGGTATCCCAGAGGCAGGGAAGAACCATGTGGCATTGAGATGGATCTATCGCTGGCATGTACAGAGTCTGACACTGTCACCTTTTAGGGGCTAGTGTCCCTCAGGGGCTGGAACTCAGGAAGTCATCCCAACTCAGAGCCGGCTCCAGTTCCCTGTGAGAATCTGGCCTGGCTTTCTTCAAGTAAACTTTCCATACTGACTGGTATATTGTCTGGCCTCTGTTTCTTCCTCTCTTATTTAGCCCTTTCCTTGGGGGCCAGCATCAACTGGAGTTGACCTCCATGAGTTCAGGATGTGAACACGGGTCACGGTTCTGACTGGATGTGAACAGTGGTCACGGTTCTGACTAGTTCCTTCCTCACCTAAGGTTTCATCATTGAAGATGACCCAAGGGTCTTCTAAGGACGGGAATTACTTGTCCCTATTCCCTTAGCTGGTCACTCACCGTGGATGACCTTGGTCATGGCAGGCATTCTCCACCTGTACTCCTTGGATAGGCAGAGGTGGCACCACATTGACATTTGTTGGAAATAACAATTACCAAGGTGCACTGCAAGCAGGCCAGGTTAGAAACTGCCATCCTCATCTATTTCAACTCCTTGGAGAATTCATCTGCTTGCTAAAGTCTGGGGAGCATTGTCAGTGGCCTATTGGATCAAGTGTTTGGGGGCGGGGCGTGGGGTGGGGATTCATTTTTTCACCATTCGCAGAAGAACTGAACACCGAGCTGTGCTTTTTCTCTCCGTTCCCTCTTTGACTCATTCACACACTCATCCCTGGACACCCGTTCTCAGATGCCATTTGGGACAGGAAGACGCACTAGGTTTAGACTTTCCCTCAAGGAGGTCTCAGGGCATCGGGACATGGGCAGGGCAAGCTCCTGCTCTGAGATGAAAGCCAGCGTGTGATTGGCTCTCTGAATGACGCGGCCGGGAAGGGTGGGCAGGAAGGGCGGCACGTGTTTGAGGACACTGTAGGGGGTAGAGACGAGACTGAGAATGTCATTGGGGAGCACAGGCAGCAGGTCAACGGGAGAAGAAGACTAGTAAGTTCTAAAGAGAGTCAGGAGACAGGTTAGGTTAGAGCAGTGAGTGCCTCTCAGGAGACCTACGAGAAGTTTGGGGATTCCACTGCCCCCAAAGTAGTGGTCTCAGAGACAGAAAGGAATGGACGGTTGTCCCCAGATCACCACACAGTTATTGACTCTGAAAGCCTCTATCTGATGGGGGGAGGAGAAATATTTTCAGGCTGCTCTACGGTACAAGCCTCAAGCAATTTGGCATGAGTCAGGCTGTTGGGAAAGAGCTGGGCTCCTGGGACAGCCTGACATGTCACTCCAGCAGCCTGCTAGGGCCAAGCTGTTCTTTTAAAGGAAAGACTTGGAGCTGATTCTGAATTTGGAAGAGAGTCCGGCAAACAGCAGGCAGCAGCAGAAGCTCGAGTCACATGACCTCATCAACTCTGCTCGGCACGAGGAGCTTGGATGGGCGTCTTCACACCGCAGCGCACAGTTCTCCCTGACCCATCCCGGCCACCACTCATGGGAAAACATGCTGGAAGTGGAGCTAATAGTTTTCCCCTTCCTCGAACTTTCTAAAATGAGCGGGACAATGAAAACACCCCCGAGTGACACCTGTCTGAATGGAGAACTTCTCCCAGAGGACAGAATCTTTGAATGAACTGTGAGGGTCAGTGCATTCACAAGTGTGGGGACTAGGAAACAGATACATTAGGAAACAGATACACTGTTTCTCTCACTGTAGCAAAACATACATCACATAAAATTTACAACCAGTCACCTTCAGTTCATTCAATACCCATGTGACCATGACAACCTCCCAGGTCTAGATGCCCAAGAAGTCTGAAGGGGACTCTGCCTCTCTTGGGTAGTCATTCTCTGTGCCCGCCCCCCCAAGACCCTGGCACCCACGCGCCCATCTCTTTAGACCTGTCTATCCTGGATATTTTCCCATGAGACTGATGTGTTCCTTCATGTGAACTTTCCACCACCCAAAGCACTTCCAAACACAAAAGTCTGCAATGTTTCCCTTTCTTCTAGCCTGTCCCCCATCAGCACAGCTCCCCTCCTGCCTACAGACACCAACCATCTTTGTTTGTAGATTCTTCTAGATAAGGTATAGGACACCTGCCACCGATCTCATCTCCTATTTCACGGCCAGTGACGTTCTGCACACAATATAATGTTCCTTGTTTTCGGTCCCTTACCAAAACAACCCGGAGCTGTGTCCACATCAGCACCAGACAGCTTCCTCATTCCTTCTCATAGTTTGTTGTTCAGCTGCCCCATGCCTTGTTTAACTAAGCTTTTCTTGATGGACGTCTGATTTTATTTCCAACTTCCAGCCCTTGCCAGTGACACTGTGAGGACTTGTCTTGCCCCCACGTCACTTTCAGAACATCTGGTGGCACAGACTCCCGGAAAGTGGTGGGAAGGGTCAAAGGGAATAGGTATTGATTTTTGTGACCCTTCATGTCTACTGTTTGTCAACCTCACCGAAACTCACCAGTCAGCATCTTGTTCACGTTCATTTCTTCTCTAGGTAGACAAGGCTCTCCTCTGTGCAAAGCCTCTCCCCAGTCCTCAGTGTCTTTATTTACTGTTCTCAGAATAGATTGTAACTAGAGTTTTCCTGCCTTGCCCACAGTCAGGATAAATCTTTGTCACCCGCCAGTCCCACAGCTGCTCAGGCCCAACCAAGTAAACACAGAGACTTACATTGCTTACAAACTGTATGGCCGTGGCAAGCTTCTTGCTAACTGTTCTTATATCTTAAATTAATCCATTTCTATAAATCTGTACCTTGCCACGTGGCTCATGGCTTACTGGCATCTTCACAAGCTGCTTGTCATGGCAGCGGCTGGCAGTGACTCCTTCTGCCTTCCTGTTCTTTTTTTTCTCCTCTCTGTTAGTCCCGCCTATACTTCCTGCCTAGCCACCGGCCAATCAGTGTTTTATTTATTGACCATATAATTTGACCATGTAATTTGACATACAGACCATCCCACAGCAATAGATTCTTCCTTGCCACATCTATGCACAGCTCTCAGAAAAAAGCTGTGTCTCAGTTAGGTTTCTATTACTTTTATAAGCACCATGACCAAAAGCAACCCATGGAGGAAAGGGATGTTTATTCTTACAATTTTCAGGTCATAGTTCATCATGGAGGGAAGCTAGGGCATGAACTCAAGGCAGAAACCTGGAGGCAGGAACTGAAGCAGAAGCCATGGAGGGCCTATGCTTACTGGCTTGCTCCTCATGGTTTGCTCCGCCTGCTTTCTTGTACAACTCAGAACCATCTACCCAGGGGTGGTAAGAACCCTCAGTGGGCTGGGCCATCCCACATCAATCAAGAAACTGTCCTATTGATTTTCCTACAGGCCAATCTGATGGAAGCATTTTCTCAACTGAGGTTTATTTTCCCAGGAAACACTAGCATGTGTCAAGTTGACAAAAGAACCCAACTAGGACAGGTTGTGAGGTTGGACCTGCTAATTCCAGCCCTGCAGTAGGCACTATCCAATCCTTCATTCAGTTCACTCCTGGTACCATGCCTGGGCTCCAATAGTTGATTTTAAATTATTATGGAAGCTGGAATTGAAAAATGTGTATGGGTGCAGGGCAGAGCATGGGCTTAAAAATCTAACTGTACTTGTTCATCAACTTGGGGATTGTCCCTGCCCCCCAAGTTTACCTCTTGATGATGATGTGGCATCAACTGGCAAGTTCCACACTCTTGCCTTTTGATTGTTGCCTTTGAAACCTCAAAGGTATTTCAGTCTCTGAAGAATCTTATTTCACCTTAACTGAGTGTCAATTGACTTACTGAAAGGCACCTGCTGTGGAATGTCTTTCTGTACGCTGTGAATGTGTTGCTCTGAGTGGTTGATAAATAAAATGCTGATTGGCCAGGAGCCAGGCAGGAAGTACAGGTGGGGTGAGCAGCCTTGGAGAATGCTGGGAAGGGGAAAGGAGTCAGGAATCGCCATCCAGACACAGAGGAAGCAAGATGACAAGGCAGAACTGAGAAAAGGTACCAAGCCACGTGGCTAAACATAGATAAGAGTTATGGATTCAAAGTGTAAGAGCTAGTCAGTAATAAGCCTGAGCTAATGGCTGAGTAGTCATAATTAATATAAGCCTCTGTGTGTTTACTTGGGGGACCCCCACCCCAGCTTTCTCCCATTTGATAGCATGGCTTTGGTGTGGACATTCCTTTCTTTGCTGGGGTGGAGGAAGTGGCAGATTTTACCTCCTACCAACCTCTCACATTTCTAAATTTATAGAGCTCCTTCTCTGCACACACACACACACACACACACACACACACACCAAGCATAGGTTGGTAAGAGCTTGGGGAACAAGCTGACATTGTACAGGAGGCATGTTCAACATTCAACTACCCAGGAGGGATGGCCACGTGTGTGTGTGTGTGTGTGTGTGTGTGTGTGTGTGTGTGTGTGTGTGTGACACCCCCATTTATCATTTCAAAATCAGGAAAATAGGTTTATCTCTCAGGTGGGGTGCAATACAAGCAAAAGGCAAGCCCTGCTATGGGAAAATCCTTTTCCACACTATGAATATGTATTACTCTCATTCATTAATAAAAAGCTGACAGGCTGGTAGCTGGGCAGGAAGTTAGGCAGGAAAGCCAAACTGAGAATGATGGGAAGAAGGAGGGAGGAGTCACAAGAGATGCCAGCCAGCTGCCCAGGAAGCAGGACATGCTAACGGACAGGTAAAGCCACAAGCTACATAGTAACACACAGATGAATAGAAATGGGTTAATTTAAGTTGTAAGAGCTAGTTAGTAATAAGCCTGAGCTATCAGCTGAGCATTTGTAATTCATGAGTTGGTTATTTGGGCTGGGGAGTCAGGACAGAAGACGTCCGTTTACAA